ATAATTTGATATAATTGGATTTAACCGACCAGCTGGTAACGCGTTTTTATAGTTATTAACTTGGCACATATGGCATGTAGAGACATATTGATCAATAAATTTTCTCATGTACGGAAATAACAAACGTCCCGAATTTTATGATACGTTTTAAATCTGCCTACGTGTCCACTTATTGGCTTGTCATGAAATTCTCTCATTATTTCATTCCTTAAAGATTTTGGAATGTATACACGCATTTCACCTAATGACGTTGCGTGTTTCGCATAAAATAACAATCCTTCAATTAAACGGAAATCGTGGGACCAATTCTCACATATCGTTGCATTAACCGAGTTATCTTCCGGGTTTTCTAAATATCTATATATATGACCTAATTCTGGGTCATTTTTCTGTTCCTTTATTAATTGTTCCCGCGAAGTAAGTACCAAATCTTTGATTATGGCACAATTAATTTTATCACCAATTATACTATTCCCATGGTTTTTCGGTAAAAGTGTAGCCACCATGTTTAACTTCATTTCTGACCCATTAACGTGCAATTTCCCTTTATTTACCTTATTATCTTCAACCAGTGTATTTTGAATTTTTAACGATTTTTGATCAAAATCTAATACGATTTTTGACCCACTTATGAAATCGATACCCAGAATACATGGGTATTCTAAATCTTTCAGCACATGAAATGACCAATTTCTTTCGAATTGTCTGATGTGAATTTTTAATTCTACAATCCCATGTTTTGGCATTTCGCACCCTGTGCTGTTATTACCTGGGCTCGTGATTTTTATTTGTTTATAGAAAAATATTTTCTGTATACTTCTTCCGATATAAAAGATTTATCTGCTCCGGTGTCCCATAAGGCTTTCAAAATGTGTTATTTAATAATATAGGTACGTGGGGAAGTTCTACGGGTGCTATACATATTGGAGAAAGTCTAATTGTCTCTCTTGTCGACACCTCTTGAGGTTGATCATTAACCTTTACAATATTTAATCGTCCCCTTTGCGTCCTATCGCCTCGATTGAAATTATCACTCGAACCCTTATTTCTACGGTCCCTCTATTAAAATTATCATTTCGCTCATTTCGAAATGAGTAACCCCTGTTGCTGAATCTTTGATCATTATTATTAAACCTATTCCCTCTCGAACCCTTATTATTTTTACGGCTATTCTGTAAAACTCATTTCTGTTATTTGGTCTACTCCTTATTTCCGAATTCCTCCAGTTTCTACCATTAGCTTCAAAATTAGGCATCCTATGCGCATTTTGACCTCGTCTTTCTATATTATGGTTCTGATAACCCCTTTGTAATTTGCAAGAATATCTCTTCGAATTTAGCCAGGACTTCTAAAAGTTGTATCGTATTTTGTGATTTCTGCACCTCCACATAGTCCTGTACCTGTGGTTCGAGTCGAACTAAAATATGATCCACCAAGTCTGCTTGGGACATTCCTAATTCTAAACTTCTCTATTTTTAGAAATCTATATACAAAATCAGTCGCCTCCTGATTTCTTCCCTGCTGGGATGCAAAAAACCCGACTGTAGTTCTTTTATTTTTGATCGCGGGAAAAGCGCTAATTCAGCTTTTGAGCTGCGCAAAATCCGTGGCTGTATTTTGTACTCAACAACAACCAAATATCGAATACCAATCTTGAGCCCTTCCCTGAGATGACTTTTTTAAGTAACATGACAGATTACTTGGGATTTCAAGTAACTGTATATTATTGTCGATACACTCGATAAACCCCTGCAACATTCTCCGACCCTGAAAAGTACATTTCAGGTAGAATCGTATTTCCCCCCACATTACCTAACCCAGAATTAAATACGTTCAATTGAGACATAGCCATCCTGTATGACCATGTTTGCCGGTTCCGGTAAGCTAGAGGTGTGGGATTATCAAAATGAAGAGACAATAATTCTTAATACAACTTTTATTAAGAGTAACTTATAATACTTAAGTTCTAATTTGACAAATTTAATTAGAGTGAGAGTCAAGCCCAAATTAAATCACGTATTTAAGTCAGATCACGCAACTAGATCCTCTATCTTACTATCCTAAATAATCCTGTTTATCTAATTACTTAAATCCAATATTCCCTTTTTTCAGTTCTGGTTCCTGACCTAGAGAATATAATCTATAAACTTTATATATGAAGATTCTGATCCGCAAGGCAGCTAATTTTGATCCTCAAGATTTCACACTAAGCTTTTTTCACTCTATCGATCAGAATAATTCCCCCAATACAATCTCTGAGCCCCTAGCATCTCTAGGTTTGCCACCCTATCCTTTTTATAGTATATCTCATTTACATATTATGATTGTTTATCTTCTTGGTATTGGGGGGGTTTCGCCATTAATCGTGGCCGTCAAAGAACATAGGAGTCATGTTAATCAGAAAGACGCGAGAGACGTCACAATATGTAAAAGTTATATTCTCATTTTGAATGAAATGCTGTTGTGACCTTAAGTTGGTGACCACAAGCCAACTTGACGAAAACCATATAAACCAGGGGTACTCAACCTTTTTTTCTGCTGGGCCGCATACATATGTCAGCTATTTCACGGCGGGCTGCATACATATGTTAGCAATTTCACGCGGGCCGTATCATGAGGATAAAGGGGGGGAGGGTGCTTAAAATGTGGAAATTAGTCAAAATATTTTAACTCCTGTTTTCTTTTTAATTATTATTTTTTTTTTATGTATTTTTTTTCTTTTGTCACTAACAATGAATTAGAAGCATTTAAGAAACACTCCTTCTCAATTTCTGCATCAGTAAACGTTTTCATATGAATACCAATATTATAACAAATTACATAAGATGCTGTTACCGCTGTGACAATACCATTGACAAAACATTTTGTTGCTGTTGCAAAAAAATTTCAAGAAAGCCTATTTATTACATCTTGAAAGAGATCTTCGAGGAAAAGTGTCATTGAATGATTCATGTTTATTTGTATTTTTTAAATTCTGCACTTTTGTGACAAATCAAACAATGACTGATCCATGTTTGTTTTTCACTACAAAACAGTCTACCTCCCAATTGTCTTGAAACGATCTATTTTCTTCGGATATTTTTCGCTTGTAAGATATGAAAGATAGTTAAAAATTAGTTCCACCCATAAAACTGTCACTATTCCACTGATGTCTGTTATCACTAACAGTAAACATTACAAATAGAAAAAGAGTTTCAATTCACACTCGTACGTCATCGACAACAAGCAAAATTGATATATTTGATTCCTTGACACCAAATTTTTAATATATTTTTCTTAACTAAGTGTATTTTTCAGAGCAATGAGCACTGACTGGGCCACTGAAAAAGGCTCAGTGGGCCGCAGGTTGAGTATCCCTGATATAAACCAAAAATGGGCATTAAGTCGATCGCGATAGACCAGTGAACCTCCAAGACATTTTGGGGTAACCACCTAACGACCTGAGACGTGCATACTAAAAGAAACATATTTACGGACCGCAGACGACAACTATAATGGAGAATTGGCTTTTTACAATTCATGTAACTGTGTTTACTTACGAAAATTATTCCATAAACATGTAGATCAGCGTTTCTCAAACTGTGGGGCGAACCCCCTTAGAGGGACGTTTTAATTCTGTGAGGGGGACACGAGCATATTGAAAAGTCGAAAACAAAAGATTCTTTTAAAAAATTATTAATTTACTGAAAGTAAAAAAACAAAATACATTCTGACATAATAAAGAATAGAATACACATTTACACTGATGTTATACACTTATAAATATATCAGTGTGCTGCATAATATATTTTATTATTAATTTAATAATACTAAGTTAAGAACAACATTAATAATTACCAGTGACTCCATGGGCTTATGTCATATGTAAAAATATATGCAAAAATCAACACTAATATTGATCATTTTGTACGGTTTATAATTAGTCCCTTAACTGCCGATTAAAAGTCAGACGATTCGCTCCCCAATGTCACAGTTTTCCAGGTAGGCGCACGTATGTGATGTATTGGGTTTTGAAGAAAAGGAATAAATACGCAAATTCTCTGAAATAAGTAAATTTTTCATAAACACTCTCAAGATTCTTTTATTGCATTTCCAAAATAATATTAAGGATAGCAATCCACAGAAAAGATCGTAAATCGGAAAGACGTATATATACGTCCAGGACAATGAACGCTTTGGTTGAGAGAGACATTTATATACGCCAGTGGCACTTAAGAGGTTAGACGCATTGTAGCTTTAGCGTCGAAGTATAATATTATTGAATTAAATACATTTTTGTTGTATGGAGGGGGGGGCGATGAAAATTAAGATTGAATATTGGGTCGCAAGTATTGAAATTTTGAAAAGCAATGATGTAGATGACACATGGACCTTCATTGGAAGCGCACGATGGCGCTTAACACGTTCACTGACGCTGTAGGGGGAAAAAGCGACCACTGAGATTCCAGCCGTTTAAATGAATTTTTTCCATCACGTTGACTGAAAGGAAGAATAAGTGCTGATGATCGGCTCTTCCCGCAAAAGCAAGGGATTGGCTATTGAGACATCATCACACATTCCACGTTTCTACTGATTCAGGCTTTCGCATTAATGTCATGTTCCACATTGGCGCGAGACTTGACATCGAACAAATTAAGTACATACATCAATTCCAAATTCATAGTAGTGGATGACACTTCATGTTAATGCAGTTTTGATTGATTCATTAATTGAATTAAACGAAATTAATTAATGGTTTTTGATGCCAACTTAGATTTGTCTACATTGTTGTAACAATGTAACTGTTAAAACAATGACAAAAGTTGGCGTCGGTTTTTCTGCCAAACTAGCCAAACCGGATGTGCATTGTTACAACAATGTAGACAAATCATGCTCTTTTTTCAATTCCTACTATTAGTTCACTCTCTCACATATTAATCATTAATTAAATTTAAAAATGGATAAATAGTTTCAAAAATAATAGTCCAACAGTATATATAGAAAGTAAAATCGTTTGTTGTGTCCCTATAGCGCCATGAATAGCGCGTTGGACATCTAATCCAAAGCTCGTAGGTTCGAATCCCACCTGGGATTACCTAATTTCTAAGAATGTGATTTTTTTTTTACTATATTATTTTATTAGAACAATTAAATTTAATGAATGAATAAATAGTAACAAACAAAAAAACAAAAACAAAAAAATAGTCCAACACCCTATATAGAAAGTAAATTGGAAAATTGCAAGAAAAATCGCTTTCTAATTTGTCACTTAATATTGTCATTCTTTCATATGTATATGCATATGTATATTAATTATAACAATTAAAAAAAAGTAACTAAAATAAAAATTTTCTTTGTAGGAATTCCTAGTAGGAATTGACTTATTTTTTTATATTACTTGTTTTTAAAAATTTTGTTTTTCGCTGTAACTTTTTGATAAGCTGTATATTTCAACCAAGCATAACGAATAGTAAACTATTCGGTATTTTTGAAATATATGTTTTCCCCTTGATAAAAATGAACATTAAAAACACTTTTAATCCATCTAAGAAATCAGTTAATTCCACAGGCAATCTTGTAAAAGGTTCTATTTTTCATTTATTTTGTGTTATTTTATAAATTACTGACTGAAAAAATTTTTAAAGCTATTTTAATTCTTCTTAGTCAAAAAACACTAAATATAAAGTATGTTTTTAAAATAGAACAAATAAATGTAAGAAGAATACTGTATTATTCGAATTCATTTCTTTATTATACTCTTCACAAAAACTCATTTAATATTTGCGCTGTAAGAAAAATATTCTACATTATCTCGCATATTTGATATTTTCAAAATAAAAACGACAGAAATTCGCATCAAAACAAATAAACAAAAAAAAATATGCAATTACACTATCAAACAATTCTGATTCGAGAGGTTATTTCTGAAACGAAAAACTTCCCTAACAAAAAACATTAATTTAAAAGTAATTTCCTTAAAAATTTATTAACAAACCTTACTAAAAACGCAACAAGAACACGGAAAAGGATCACGAACTTATCGATTACATTTTAAAAGGAAAATATGACCACTTATCACAATCTAAAACAATCTTCCTCTTTATGAATTTAAATTCGAGAACCCTCACAATATATAACAATCCTCTCGAATACAATAGTAAAGAAAAAACACCGGTTTGTCATTGCCTCAATATAAGGTAGATAAAGAAAGAAAACTATTAACTCAGCAGCGCGATGGTGACTTTGATAAGTTAACAGCATTTCCAGAAGCATGGTTAAGTTAGGTAATTGAGTAGCGTTTACCGAAATAATTGCGGTGGGTGTTCAAAAATAAAGATAAAAAGAATAAAAGAACAAATGAATAATGAAAAGAAGTAAAAGAATTATGCAATTGGTGTCCTTGGCTAGTCTCCACGCCGTCTGACGGGGACGGAAAGCAATTACTGTGTATTTTCTGCATGGGATTTGACCTTGTTGCTAAGTTACTGAATGTGAAAGGGCACCTTAGCAACAAGTGGATGGAAAGTTAGTGATTGGCTGTTAGACTACCTGAGACTAAAGATGTAATTGATGACAGTAAGAAAAAAAAATTGAGGATGGTCCGATTGTGCATGTGCATGAATTAAATTTCTGTTAGCCAATCGAATGGTTTTATAGATCACGTGATGAAGAATTGTGAAAGATTTTCTTGTTTCACAAAAGTGAGTGGGACAAGTTTCCCGTTTGATAAGGATATTTGGCCTTAATCGCACAAACATGAAATATGAATAAAACTTTTCCTAAAAAATTCGTTTTTCAAAGTAAAATATTAAGAAATACTAGTATAATGAAAATAAATTAATATTTTGAAGCGCTTTATTTGAGTTAAGGTATCCGACTACGTTCGGAACCTTGATTTTGCAAAAGCGTATAAATGGATAATAATTATGATATTTAGTGTTACTAGATTAGAAAATGTATATAAAATTGTTTTAAGAATAGTATTACAATAAAAAATTATTTAAGTACAATATTTTGACAAAAAATGAACATAGAATGACCCATTTTCAAAATATTCTCCTTTTTGAGAAAAATGCTTCGATTATAATAATGTTTTGCCTATATATAGCTCTGACCTCTATACAGAGGCTCAACTAGAATTTTTGAAATATATGACTTAGAAGTGGGTTTATCCGTGTTTTACGACACAACAGAGGGGAGAAGTTTCAAGAAAAAAACGCCGATAATTATTTCAATGGGTTGTAATTCTGAAAATAATGTGAATTTTTCAAAAAAAAAAATATTTCAGACTCTCTGGAGAAGTCTACTTTATATAAGCAAAATATTATTATTTTAGTAGCATGTTTTATAAAAGGAGAACATTTTGAAAAAAGGTTATTCTAAGTTAATTTTTTGCCAGAATATTGTATTTAAATAATTTTTTTGTGTGTCAGAATGTCTTTAAAACAATTTTATACATGTATTCTTATCTAAGGGACATTAAGCATCATGAAAATTATCCATTTATGCGCTTTTTTAAAATCACGGTTCCGAACGTAGTCGCATACCTTAAAGTACCTTAAAATCCGGCGTATAACGCACACTTTTAAAACAAAAAATAAGATCGAAATTTAAGGGTGTGCGTTATACACAGGGTATAAAAACGAAAGTTTTAGAAATAACAAAAGAGAGGAGCATTAAAAAAGTTATTCTTCAACATATATCGAAATACCGTTTATTTAAAAGAAATGACAGTGAAGGAAAATGATGTTTTATGAATTAAAAGAGTTATAGTTCTAGAAGCATACCATTTTTTCAAAAATCTGGGATAATACATCGAATAAATGACTTCAAAGCATAAGAGCATTGTTTACTAGCATTTCAGATACCTTCACTAAAAGAGGGGGGTGCGTTATATGGCGAATATACCTAAAAATTAAAAAATGCAGCTTGAAAGTGTAGATGCGCGTTATACACCGGATTTTACAGTAATAGAAATTTCTCCATATCTTAAATTCGAGATGTGTTCGATTCTTTCTTTAATAAACTATGTTGAACACGCTAGTTCGTAGTTTCAAACATTGTTAGGAAAAATAAATAATGTTCTATAAAGAAAATTACATGAAAAAAATAAGATTTTTGACAAAAAAAAGTGTACAAGTAACAAAAAATTTTCAGAACCGTTATAGATGGTCATTGGTTCCTCTGCTAGAGAAATTTGAACATATCCATTTATATTTTAAATTGTTGGGAAACTTAATGTATATTAATGAATTATACGGAAAAAATTATAATTATAGTTATAAAAGCTTAAAGGGAAGCATTTATCTCAACATTGAAACTTTTGTTTTGAAAACTTGTGCAAAAACAATTTCGCAAAAGTTTCAAAATATATATATAGGTTTAAAGAGTTTACTTTTCTCATTAAAAAAAACACTGAAAATATTAATTTAATACAAATTGCACATTTAGGTATTCCATAATTTTATATACACTAACAGGAAATGAAATTCCATCAAAAAGAAAATAATTTAAAAGAAAGAAATTTATAGTCAAAGCATTTGTCTGGGTAGCATATTTATTTAAGTTTCAAGGTTACCGGTATGAACGATAACAATCATTTCAAATATTTAATGATGGTTTATTAATAACCATTGTAGTCGCTACGTTTTGAACACAAGAATGCAAACGTGCATTCTTGTTCTACAAGCGTCGTATGCCATGTTGTTGGATGGAGCTCCATATGTGTTGCCCTTAATCAAATCGGCAACGGTCCGTTCTAGTTGTGGTATGAGGCTGAATTTGTTAAACAGTAATTTTTCATTTATGCTCGAATGGAGAAATCTCGCAGGCCAAGACAACGTATTGATATTCTGCAGAGTACATTAAATGACAGTAGGAGTTTAGTTATAAGCATTATCATGTTGGAAAAGGCCTGTAGCGGTATCTAAATAAGACAGTAACAGCCTCCGGATAGAGGTGATCACTTTTGTCTGGTAGTATGTTACGTGTTTTAGAATCCATAGGTCGCGGGTTATATCCACTGGATACTCTTTGCCACATTGATGACCCAGACGTGATTTGAACATGCAACCTTCTGATCGGTCGTAGCGTCATCTACCCACAAAAAAGAGCAATAAAAAAGTCTTCAGACTCCCTTGACGCAGCAACCAAAGTCGTCAGACCCACTTGATGCAGCAACCAATAGTCGTCAGATCCACTTGACGCAGCAACCAAAAGTCGTTAGACTAACTTGCCGCAACAGCAACAACTAACACGCTCGCCATACAAATATCTCGTTCGTTCGCCGATCCACCGACTCACTATTGAGAAAGTACTGTAGCTGTATCTAAATAAGACTGTAACAGCCTCCGGACTGGGGTGATCACTTTTGTCTAGTGGTACGTTACGTGCTTACGAATCCATAGGTAGCGGGTTCTATCCACCGGATACGCTTTGCCACAGGCCTCTTGAAATAGGGATAAAGCCAGTTCAATCACCAGTCTGATGGTCATATTTGCTGTCAAGGTGCTTGTGATAAAGGTTGGAGTACTCTTCCTGTTATAGGAATTGCTTCCCAGACCATCTCCTAGAGTAAGTTCAATGTATCTACACCACAGGCAATTTGGCTCCAAGCGTTTACCTGGCTTCTTTCTAACCAACATTCAGCTATCGCCGGCTCCAAGATCTCATCTAAGAACAAATAGATCCTCGCTCCTCCATCCACATTGAGCTCTCTCTCTAGGCACCACTTAAGTTGCAATTTACAGTGATTTGGAATTAGTGGCAGGAATGGTACAGAGAGTCCGGCTCAGCGATACTCAACCTGCGGCCCATCGAGCCTTTTTAAGCGGACTGGTCATGATCCATTGCTGTGAGAAATTTACTGTTTTAAGAACAATGTATTAAAAATTTGGTGGGAAAATCTTTGTCAAGAAATCAAATATATAAATTTTGCTTTTTGCTGTCGGTGTCGTACGGGTACGAATTGATATTCTTTTTCTATTTGGAACGGTTACTGTTAGTGATAACAGACAACAGTGAAGTAGCGACCTTTTTATGGGTGGAACTAATTTTTAACTATCTTTCGTATCTTGCAAGCGAAAAATAATGAA